GCCACTGAGCTGTCTCCTTGGCTCTTGTACTTCATTCTTAATCCTCATTATTTTGTTAGGGCCTGGGGCCCTAAATTCATCTGAATGGAGATGAATTAAAATATGGCCATCTTTTTATACCCTTTTCAGAAAAAATTATGATGTTCACCTATATAATGTGTGGCATGCTTCTCAAAAATGAACTTCAGAATTCTTATAAATTGTTTATCTAAAAGAAGTCCCCACCCCCCAAGGAGATCAGCTGTATGTTTTTCAGAAGTCCCTTTTATTTCTAGTTAGCCACAAACTTGTCCAAGAGTTGAAGGGTCCATTGAAGCAACAGCTGTTTGATAACCTCACACACACTACTGCTCACCTTGTCAAGAATTGGGATTTGAGCCCAACACTGCTTCACCTTCCCCTGGGTCTTCCTTCAGCCTCTCTGGTGAAGGGTTTCACTTACTGCAGGACACCCACACCAAGGTCAAAAGCAGTAAGAACTAAGGTTCACTCTGTCCTCCTGGGCTCTGGCTTATGGCTGTGGGGGCCAGCTGTTCTCAACTTGACGTCCTACCTTCTATGTGGACTTCAAGCTCTAGCATTTGAGGGGGGAACAGTAGCCTTAAAGAGACCTCATCAAGCACATCCTGTGATTAAGTCACATCCCCTTTCTATGTTAACTATCATGGAAATAAGGTACATTTTTAGAAAGCTGATTTGCATTTTTTAGTAGGAAGAAGAAAGAATAAGCCTATAAGTAATCTAATATTAGGTTGTAGAAAACAAAGCCTAAAAGAAAGTTAAGTTTTGACTCTCACTTCTCCATTGCCAAAGCCTTTAAAACTTCACTGCTTTCTTCCCCACAGAATACCAGAAAAATGCAAAGGTCTAGGCTACATCTCTTACACCAGTACTTCTTTAACAATTTTCTGGCTGAAGTACTTCCCCAACACTACTGTGTACTTGCACCACAAGTAGGCTGTGCAGCCTTCAAGGAGTAGGCCATCCCTACAAAAACAGATGACCTCTCTGATACCAAAATGCAGCCACAAAGACAACGGAAGAGATACTTGGGAATTGTCTGTGTGGCATCCTTTTTGGAAAAAGTGATTTTGTATTGTACAAATAAAAAGATGACTCAGGAGCCAGAGCATATAGTGTGGGCAGGGGCCAGATGGAAATGGCAAAATAAATTGGCAGTGCATGCCTTATTGTACGTTAGTTTCAAAGTGGAACTGGAGATAATTTAGTTCTGTGATCACAGGACTGCAGCTGGCCAATTTGTAATTGCTAATTATAAAATGGGAAGCATTAATAATTGTGCTGGAAATCATTTTTTAGAGCACTAGGGTTGCATAATAGTTTTAAAGTACCAGCTCTTTGGTTTCTGAGGCTCTTGGCAGATGTACCGAGGACAGACAAGCTCACAGGGTGGCTTAGCTCTGGCTCGGCACTGGTGGGGATGAAGAACCTGTTCTTACTCACAGGGGATTAAGAGTTGTATAAACAGGGTTGGCCTAGCCCAGGCGCAGTGTGGGCCGGACCCTCTCCCACCCCCTCGGGCCGCCCCCCACCACTCCGCCCTACCTGCCCCACCCCTCCCGCATAGTAGGAATTTCTGCCAACTTCCGGGAACCACCAGACCCAGTCCTAGCCCAGGTC